ATATTATTTATATATATTTACATTACTTAGATACATTATGAAGAAAAGCTGGAATTAAATCGATCATGACAGAAAGCTGTGTGAACTCTTCTGGACTCTAGGGAAAACAACATAACCTTCGTATCTGTTACCTGTAGGCATTGCCATCTCCCTGTTGCAGAAGCGTGATGATTTCTGGAACAAAATGTGCAGGGTCTCTAGGACTCAGCAAGTATAACAAGACCTTCTTTCCATGTTTGTTGTTTATTATACTGGGCAAAGAAGCATTTATTTCCTGTAAAAGTAAACAAACAGCAAGAACACATTAATGAAATAATAGTGTTGAGCCATTAGCAATTACACAGTACCTTTCAAATGCAAAGCTTAGGAAAGGAAGACTATATACTATGAATAAGATTGATGTCTGCTTGTGAAATTAAATAAAAAAACCTCTAATCAGAACAAAAGTCTGGAGAAGTGAGAGAAATAAAAAAATATTAAGGTTTAATATGTGTTCATCAGATGCATCAATGACACCAATTAGAAAATACTACAAAAGCACAGGATTTGTTTTCATTGATACATGCAAGTACAAAGAACAGCACATATTCTGGTATGTCATACACTGTACAAATATAACCTCATTAAAAGTCATAACCTCAGCAGACCAGACATACAAAGGATCACCTACCACATCACCTAAGAGTAATCACTGATACCATGCTGACTTTCAAAGGAGCGTACATAAGTACCTAGGCAGCAACAAGAGCATGGGAAGGAAGTCCATCTTCAACCAATCACAGAATATTTACCAAGAAAAATTAAGTCTCAATAATAGAATAAAGCTGGGTTCTGCTGGCAGTATTATTTGCAGTTTACATGAGCATTAACAGAAAACACTGGGCATTCCCCAGAGGTTATCTTTAGCTAGGAGTAACTACTTTGTAAACTACAGAGCGGGCACCTCATACACTTGTGCACTAACACGGCTGAGGAAGAAACACATTAATATGCAGGGGAGCTTTCTTGCTCATAGAAGGATGCTGCTACATTCAGATGGAAGCACCTATATCAGGTCATCTGTTTGTACTCAAATTTTTGTCAGCTTCTCAACAAATGCCCTTTCATACAGCAACATGCATTTTATGCAAGTTCCAGGTACCACTGGAGAATCCTGAATATCATCAAGATACTCTTGATCATTACGATAATCTATTCCTGGCAACTTTTAACATGCGTATAAAATTTATGATTATCAAAGCAAACAAGGGCTGTACAGAACTCTGGGCACTTTCAGCACATTTTGCAGGCCACAGCCCTTAAAATCCCTTTTTTCCCCACCATGAAGATCCTTCCAGCAACAGCGAGAAAAAGATAAATAGAACAATTTAAACCAATGTCACCCTTCATTAATATGGAGCCCAGCTGGTTGTCTTTGATGGGAAGAGAAACAAGCGAAAGGTTGTTGGAAGCTGGCAGGAAATGGTAAGACAATGTTCTTATTTCAAAAACATTGCTTAAACCTAGGTGAAAATGAGTTTTGGTAAACTGAGATGAACATCGGTTTGATGCAGCACTGTAACTATGAATAAAAACCTATTACTGTAACCTTCACACTCCAAGCATGGGGGGAAAAAACCCATCTTTTCTGTCTTCTCAGCACGTACATTCGGATTCAGATGTATGTGAGGTTCATTTACCAAATAAATGGATGACAAAGGTGCTGAAATATTTCAAAACAGGTAAAGAAAATACTTCGTTTAGTACAAATAAACACAAAAATCATCTGCACTTCAAAATCAACCTGTAACACAGCCATTTTGCATAAAAGATAACAGACACAATTTCTTTTAAATCCTCCAGCAGTGTATTTTCCCCACTGATTCCATGATTCTGATGAATTTGGTCACTTTCAGTGCCAGAACTGTGAGAAAGTACCAGGAGAAACTCTAAATGACACAGGCATGCTGTCTCTTGTCAGTACGACTCCCTAGCACTGCCTGCTTGCAGTCCTAATGAAAGAGAGGGATTTCCCGCTAAAATCTGCCTGAATCCTGACATGTGCCAAGCTCACAATGTACAGTTCCAATCACATATGAAGATTTAAAGCACCATACATATTCTCTGGTCCTGGATTAAGACTCTGTGGAGCTGACAGATGATGATAAGGACAGACTTTCCTCAAAGGATTTGAAAAGCTGAAAACCTTCCCTTACCTACAAATTCCCAGCCATTCTGCCACTCCACATATGTGATCAGTTTTATAATGAGAGAGAGGGGGGGGGGGGGGG